GAACAACAAAATGTCATCTGCAAACCTTAAATTCAACAAGCGCTCCATGCCATCGCCTAAATCAAACCCATGCCCACCCACAGCACAACGCCAGATTTCCGTTTCTTGTTGTAAGGCTGCACTGAATCTGGCGTGGCCAGTATCCTATGTATGCATTGAGTGGGATGATCAAAACATGATGTCATTTCACAAGAGGTCACATGAATGCATGTGGCTTCGCACGAGGTAGTCCAGAAACCTCATTAGCGGCATTTTGTTCTCACAAACTGCTGCCGTGCCCTGGCCCACTGCCAAAACCAACCGGACAAGATCAAAAGCAGCAGCTGGCATTTCTTTAATTTTTTTTCGGGATGACAAACAATTGTATTGAAACTATTGATTCATAACCACGGAGCAAGTCTCGGAAAAACTCGGCTGGCAAGACAGATGCCGAGAAGACGCTTGCAAGGTTCAACAAGGGCTCCGTGGTTTTTGAAGCAGCCTGAGCTGTCACCGCCACTGCCTGCCCGATCCAAGGTCAACACTTCTACTTTTTCAGACCTGGCAATCTTCAGGACATATTTTGTTTAGAAAGGCAGCAAATGAATGGATGTAGCTTGCCAAGGGGTAGTATAGCAAGCAAGGAAGGAACACTCTAGGTTCCCACGAATTAAAAAAAACGCACATAATTTTTTTCCTCAGCAAAGGGCAGTGAAGTGCGGTTCGAGAGGACCGCGGCGGTGCAAAACAGTGAGCGGCCCCTGGTTGATACGTGCCGACGTGGACATGAATGCTCTATTCTACACATTGGGAAAGGGAGGCTTTTAGTTCGTGACGAGCGTCTCATAGCGCATTGTGCCCTGGACTGCTTCAAAGTCACGTCAATCTTCCATCAGTGTCGTTCAACTGATGCTGTTGGTCTCTTCCTGTGGCGGTGCCACCTGTGCGCACCATCTACACGGGTCATCGGCTGCTTGAAGCTTGGTGGTGTAGATCTCAAGCTCCTCGTTCATTTTTCGCCTATCCTCAGCATGCTTGAGTTTCAAGTCAATGACCTCTTGTAGAACACGGGCCATCTCAGTGTCCTCCATCCTTCATATTTTCCTTGGAGCTGAGCCACTTGAACTTGTAGTTGAAGGCGTTCACGTCGCCTGTAGCCGGAGCTCAGGAAGTAGCCCAGTTTCATTCCCCATGATCAGCATGATCATTGCCAGGATGCGGAGGAAGATCCAGTGGTGAGCCTGCTTTGTGTCAAGGCCACCATTGCAAATAGGATTCGCTTCGCACACCGATTGGATGTAGTAGAGCGCGATGTCGACGAAGTGTGCTCCTCTTCCATCATCATTCCACCTTCTTCACCTTCATGTTCATCAAGTTGTGGTGTGGAGGTAGTTCTTGATGAAGTCGTAGCAGGGTTTGTGATTGTGGGAGGTCGCTTTGAAAATTCCTGCCTGCTTGGTTCCCGGTCCTGAGCCGACTTCTTCTTTGCGGCCACGTTCCAGGTTGTAGACGAACTTGATTCGACCATGACGGAGTCGATCTGCTAGCAGGCCTCGGGTTTGATTCTTAGTCAGGCCGTCACCGGATTGTGGTTCGTGTGAAATCCAACGGAACTCGCCCTTCAGTGACGTCAGCGGCTCCTTCATGACTCTGACTTCCAATGAGTGCACAGCCTTCCTTGTGGTACAAATCGTACAGTGCTTTTGCATCTGTAGTGAGAACTGGTTTCAAGGCAGTGGTGCCATGGAGATCTCCTTGAGACTTCGTTCTGGGTGGAGGATGCCCTTGAGGAACCTGCAGGAATATTCTGTGGAATCAGTTGCTTGCCCTGCACTTTGGGTTTCCTCCAAGCGGAGCTCCTGGCTACCCGAGGTTCCAGTCAATCACATGGTAGGGCAGCTCCTCGTGGAAGGCATTCTGTTGGATTAACAGGGTCACGAACCCCTGCTGGGATGTTCCATCTGGCCTCACGCCGGGATTGAACCGTACCTCAATGCAATGTCAGCATTCTGCTTGGCGAACCTCAGGATGGAGTTGGTGTCCACAATAGCTTGAAACTTGTTCTGAACCAATTTGCCAGCTGTGAGGCTGCAGCTGCATTGAAGATGCGGCGAGCTTTGAACTGCCGGCCACTGCAACGATCCCAACAATGCCCTGAGCTGACTGCGGTCATGATCGGTCATCTCCTCTTCTGGCGTTTGATTTCGATGGACCGTCACTGGCTTCACCTTGTGGATGTAGCTCTCCTGATTCGTCCAGGTGAAGTCTTTCTTGGTCAGAACGGTGCCGCAGTAGGTGCTCTCCTTGGTGTCCTCATCCCAGGTGCGGAAGTTGAAGGCCTGTTGAAGTCGTTTCTCTGCCTCCACATAGGTTGGACAGGAACGATCGCCAGCACCCAGCATGTCGCCCACATGGAGACATAGGATTCCGCAGATTGTGAGTCGCCCTTTTTGGTCTCATGATGTAGAGTGAACACGCATGGGTCCATCTGGTTCTGGATCCAGTTGAGCTTCTTCAGTCGCTGGCAGGTTTCAAGGTACCAGCGTGTTGGAGCGTCCAGCTGGCCGTGCACCGGTTTGACCAAGTTCGTGCGAGTCTCAGGACCGCAGCCGAGGATGTCCAGTGCTTCCGAGGGTAGTTTCAGCCACAACTGGCGTTCTTGGGCTTTGAAGGAATGCGGTGCTCACATCTGCTGACCATCCATGCCATTTGAAGAGCGCTGGGAGGGATAGCAACCATGTGCGTCCCAAACTGTTGGCCGTTGGAGAAGCTGCCTCAGCCAGCCAGTGCATCTGCGTTTGCATAGCTGCGCGCAACCAGGCGTGCTTTGGCACGTGGGGTGCCGTCGCTGTTTTTCGTCCATTTCAATAGAATCCGGCTCGTGAGAGTCTTGTCCGGACCGGCCTCAGATGTAGTGGAAAACTCGCAGACGCCATTCTCGAAGAACGCGCGAAGCTCCTTGCACTTGGCTTCATGGAAAGCTCTGCGATCTTCTAGGGTCATGTTCTTCTCGGAGAGTGAACCCTGACCCTTCTGCTTCTTGACTTGTCGCTTCATTTGCACCTTCTCATGCTGTGCCACCTTGCGTGCTGTTTGGGGTGGGAGACTCCTGTTAGAACTCGATGTGATCATCCCAAGCTCGTTGCGTGTCTCCGCATTGATCTGGAAGATGGTCACTCCTCGACATTGTCGAGGTAGTGACGTGATGTCATCGCCACCCTTCTTCACCTCCTTGAAGTTGCCGGTGACAGAGCTCAAATGCCGCCGGATGTGATGTGGGGCACATCGGATCAGCTGGGTCTTGTGAACGATCCAGTAAGTCGTGGGCTGTTGTTGTTCATTGAGTTCTCTCATCACGACCATGGCGGGGTCAAAGCAGCGGTCCATGATTGTTCGAAGCGTTCTCTCGCCTCCTCCTCCTCGGAGATGCGCAGCTGGTCCGCAGCCCTGCTGTTTCCTCCATCTTACCTGTCACATCATTCGCAGCACAGTGGCCTTTGCGTGTGGCCAGCGAGGAAAATATTGTGATGCATTCCAAAAAAGCCAGCTTCTTGTCCATGCTGCTACACAGAAAATGGTAGCTAGAATTCGGTGCGGATTTGTGCCAAAACACTGCAGCCAAACTTTTTCTTCTTTGGTAAAATCCTTCCAGGCTAGGGCTTGGGGCGCCAAACCTGTTTATACAAACTACACTCTTCCAACACTAAAAACAACTCGGGAAAAATGAGGTATGATGAACATAATGCCCATGACAGTATCCTCTATGAAATGGCCATGGTCAAGGCTTGTTCTAAAAGGTTTTTGAACAAGAGGCTGGTCAGAAACCATGTGCACAAAGAGAGAGAGAGAGAGGCCAAAGCAACACAAACACCCAACAGGTTTGACACAAAACATTTTGAGTTGTATATTTTAGCTGCCTGCTTGGGGCGATGGCGCCTATTACTAAATATGGTGATTTTCAGGGTTAGGTCAAGCAGGGTCCTTTTATAGAGAGTTCATGTGAAATATGATGGCCTGAGGGTTGGGCCCACCAATTCATATAAAATGACTTGCAGGACCCTCCCGCAAAAATGTCATGGCCATTAAACATATAATATTCACGGTGACCCCTGGTTATCTAACAACATGGAGGGGGAAGTTGTGATGCCCAAACCACGTGGAGAAGCTGCATCTGGCGGGCCGGCCTTCATGCGTACAAAACAAACCCCTCGCATGTCTTGCCTTCTTCGTCAACGATGCTTGCACGCACCAAGAAAGTTGGTTTCGATTTGAGTTGTCCATACAGTCTTTGGAAAACGTCCCGCCGCGCCCGGGGCGAACGTCGACGTCGAGACACTGCTCCTCAGCGACCTCGCCGTCCCTCACGCTGCGGGCGCGCACCCCAGTCGCCTAGGGCTGCGCTAGGTAGCGGCGCCTCAACGCGGCAGGGAAAATATACTTAAAAAACATCCTATTCCAGGGGACTATCGAGGACAGAGCAGAAAGTGAGTTCCATAGTCTTCTGATGTTCAGCCCCCGCCAGCTGGCATTTGCAGGATGGTTGCGTCACCAGACATCGTGTCCTCCCATGAGGAGTCACAACCTTGCAGTGCGCCCTGACGTCAGCATCACGCGCCGACAATGTCGACATTTTTGCAAAATCATGCTTCCGGACAACCCCCTCCAGAGGATCGGGTTTCCTCCGGAGCTTGCTCCCGAACCGGTTCCGGAAATTGACCTGGAATCTGCTTGCGGGCCTCCTGGAAGCTGGTCCGGGAACCTGCTCCGCGACCTGCTCTGGGTTTTTTCCGGATCGTTTTTCAAGCTGCGCCGGAATTTGGTGTTGGTGTTGAGGCATCGAGCCTTTGCACAAAGGGCTGTAGTGAAGTGCTTCGCAAGGGTGGTTAAAGGAGATCAATTTTTTGGTGCATGTTGGTTGCTGTGGTGCCAACGGCCGTTAGGAAAATCAAAAATGCCATTGGCGCGGGTGGCGCTTCAAAACGCAGGGCAGTACGGGCGGTACAAGAACATATTGAATGTGTAGCAATTTTTTGGCTGGCAGCTTTTGCGCAAAACGCCCGAACGCACTGCTGGGTCACGATGCAGGCTGGGAGGGAAGCTGGCTGCTGGGCAGAGCCCTTCGTGGCCTCATGATGTTTTAGAAAGACAAAAAGGTTCACCCCTCACCCAGGCGAAGCGCGTCCCGCTTTTTGAGGCAGACAGTTGTTGTATGCGACTCTCTCTTGCTGATGGTGCTGTTCAAATTGTGGCCCGGAACACCTTCCTGGACGTCGACATGGTGCCCCCCGACACACAGGCTGGAATACATTGGCAAGTTCAATTGCACACAGCACATCAGGCACTTGATATGCCTGAGAATGTGGGAAAACACATGATCATCAAGCGTTCAAGCCATGGTTTCGTGAGATGTGGCATGTACAAAACCACCACCGCGCCACAGTGGGGGTGAAGTCGTTGCACACCTGGTCTTTTCCATGATGTTGTTTCACGCTAGTGTAGTGTATTCTACGTCTCACTCGTGCTACTTTGGCTCAAGGCAAAGCAGGTGCGATTAGTGGTGTTAGTCGGCTACTCACTTGTAACTACAGGTTATCAGCCGTATCGCCATAAGTGCGGTACATGCTTGGTCCTAGCCCTGGTCTCACCCCACCCTAGATAGTGCACTGTCTAGAGGCCATGGCTGACGATGAAGGTTCCCGTGGTGACCGCTCACGTTCAGGCTATGTTCCTACATCGCCTGCCATGTCAAGCTCACCTGCACTTGAGCTCCCTGTTGTTCCGCTGCACTTGCGAGGGCCAATTGAGCCTCCGATGTTCAGTGTCCAGGGGGGGACCTGGTGTCCAATGCTCAAGCCCCGTCGCCTTTTCAAGCTGAGTTTTCGCCTGTGTTAAACGTACAGCATGTTGATGCGAGACAGATTCATCAACAAGCGGTTTTCGTCAACGAAGACCGATCAGCTCAGGTAGCTCAGATTGCAGAGTTGAGGCATCAGGCCACTTTGGCCGAACATGGGCAACAAGTTGCAGATGAAGCTAGGCAATATAGGGATGCAGTAGAGAACCAAGCCAGAGCAGCCATCCAGGAGTCTAGGGAACAACATGAGGCTATTGCCAACCAACGTTTGAGTGACATGAGCCAAGCCCATCAAAACCAACAATTTCATGACCAAAGGGCTTATTTGGATCGGATTTCGCTCGAGAGACACGCCATCATCGAGAGTGAACGCGCCTCTGCTAAGCAAAGAGAGGATGCACTCCGGTCAGAACTAGCCGAACAGAGTCGGATCATCAAGGATTTGAGAGAGAAATTCGACAACGCCTCGGGGAACCGAGTGCCTGTGCCGTCAGTACAGCCACTTGGGTCTCAAGGGTCCCCAGCTTTGCCTCCAGCGAGCCTTCGCACTCAGTTGGAGAAGCCCGGGAACGCAGGCGGTGACGAACCTCATCCGTCCGATGCTGATGAAGAAGGTGATGATAGGTCCAGGAAGGACAAAAAGAAGAAGAAAAAGGAGAAGAAGAAAGAGAAGAGTCCAAAGAGGGGCCGCTCTAGGGAGCGCAGGAAGAAGCGTTCTCCTTCTCCATCACCTTCGCTCATCAAGTGGAAGTGATGATTCCAATGACTCAAGCTCTGAATCGTCGCGTCTTGCACGCATCATCCGAAAGGAGCTGAAGAAGCAGCAGGGAAAGTCAAAAGACAGGGATCGTGAGAACAAGGCCAAAGAGGCTGATAAGGTTCTCATCCCCAAATTTCCCACGCCTGAGAAGTACAGAGATTGGAAGATCAAGGTAAGGGACAACATTGCTGCAGCTTCAGCCAAGCCAGATGAAGCCAGAACATGGGTTGGGAAAGTATATAAAGATTCCCAAACCATCGACGCATTGGATGATTCAGAGGGATTTGCAACCCTTGACGCAAAGCTTCTTGCAAGCTTGACCAACTGCGCCGAGGGGGACCTTGGTCGTCAGATTGCTACCTTCAAGGAGCTGCGTGCTCGTGAAGACAAGAATGTGAAGGGAAGACACTTGCTTCTTCGCTCCCACGAGTACTTTGCAACAAGCATCAAGCATGGTGCAATCTATGGTCTTGAGGACCTTATGTCCGTGAAGATGGTCAACGATGACCTCAAAAGCTTTATTAACAAGTGGGACAGTGTCCTGGCTGGAATGAAAAAGGAACCAGAAAACAGTGTCCTTGAAGCATACTTCCATTTGGCAGTCAAACGCTTCAAACCCCTTGAGCATGACCTGGCCTTGTACGATCGTGCAGCTGATGGCAGTAAGGAAAGATCGTATGACTTCCTAATCACAGCTGCGAGGGCCTACCTTGAACGGAAAAGGCTTGAAAAGATGCGGGACGCTACCAAGCGCTCGCTCGGGGCCAAAGATACAGCCATGCCTGCTCCAGATGAAAAGAAGGGAGTATGTTATGACTTCCAAAAGACCGGAAAATGCAAGCGCGGATCATCATGTCCTTACAAGCACGAAAAGGGCCGCGAGAAAAGCAAAGGAAAGGGCAAGGGTCGCAGTCAGTCTCGATCAAGATCGCTGACGTGAGGATCTTGCAAGGAGACTTGCAAATTCTGGAAACCAGGACATTGTCATCGAGGAAAAGACTGCGCGTTCCAGCACCCTGAAAAGACTGTCCCTGCGAAGAAAGAGGACAAGAAGAAGAAGAAAGATAAGAAACCTCGCAAGCGAAGCAGCTCACGAGGATCGTCAGGCTCACGAAGAAGCTCAGTCAATTCAGCATCTGTTGACTCACACACCGAAGAACTCCTTTTGTCAAGCTTGTTCCAGGGCGAAGATGACGAAACGTCCGTCATATAGCAAGGGAGGTTCTACCCAAGTTGATGCGGACCATTTTGGACAGCATTTGACTGCCGATCACCTTGTCATTAGGGACGATGAGGAGATGGACATTGATGGGGCTCGAGTTGCACTGGTCGTAAAAGATGTAGCAACCGACTTTAGGTATGTCTACCCGGCCGCCCGTCGTTCGACTCGGGAATGCGTTGCAGCTTTCAAGCATTTTGTTCGATCTACTGATGAGGTAGGAGTGTTTTATTCCGACAACTCACCAGAGCTCATCGCCACTGCCGAGAGACTAGGATGGAGGCATCAAACTAGCTTTGCATATGTTTCTAAAACAAACGCAATGGCTGAAAGATCCATCAGGTCCGTCATCGAAGGTACAAGAGTAAACTTGGAACAGGCTGGCCTTCACCATCAGTATTGGGCACACGCAGCGAGACATGCATGTATGGCAAACAATATTGTCGACGCCCGGGAGGGTAGTTCGCCTTGGTCGCAGCGGTTCGGTGAGAAGTTCAAAGGCCCGTTGGTTCCCTTTGGGTTGAGAATTGACTACTGGATCGGTCCTAAGAACAAGGCCAAATCCTCTCTCAGGTTCGAACCGACGTCAAACCCTGGAATCTTTTTGGGGTATGCCGTTCAGTCCAATTTTGTGTGGAGGAAGGAGTTCATGGTTCTCCCACTGAAAGATGTCATGGAATCAGACTTCAGTGCCGAGATCCAGCCGTTGAGAGTCCATCAGATTGCTGTTCCAGACATCGGTTTGCACTTCCCATGCAAAGGTAGGTACAACATGATTCGAGAAGGGTTGTGCCCAGGCATTACCATTTCAAGCAATCCACCGTCGATCGATGATGTTAGAGCTGCAAATGTTGAAGATCTTGTTGATCAGGAGGTTTTGAGACATGCTGTTGAACATGAGTACGAACCAGATGAACCGCCTGAGCTTCCAGAAGCTCTTGTTGACGACGCGCCTGCAGTTGCTCGCGGGTCGGGAGACCTTGCCGATGAACCGGGGGGAGAAGAGGTGGAGATGGTCGAGGTTCTTGATCCTGTCACGGGTGAAACGACCTTGATCCCCAAATCCGATTCGTCCTATTATGATGCCGGTGGATATAAGGCAAGGAAGTACAAGGGTTCATCGAAACCACCTGACATTCCTCCCTTCCTTTGGAAAGCCGCTTCCAAAGCGGAGAGGAAGAAAGCGATTGCCAAGTACGAGCTCGAAGAGGCTCGGAAGCGCCTTCTTGCTGAGAAGAGCAAACACAAAGCAGCCGTGGCAGAGATTGACAACAAATTGCGACATTATAAAAGTGGGGACATCCCCGCTGAGACGAAAATGGATGCCGCCTGGGAAGGTGTGCCGTTGATGCCGGTTGAGCATGAAGAGAAACCACATGCCCATAGAGAGAAAGGAATTCTGTATGAGCCATGGCTAAACGCCTTAGTGGCCAGGCCCGTAGGCCAGAAGGAAATCCGCAACACCCCAGATGCTCAACGCTCCTTGGACGTTGAGTGGGTGAAGCTGGAGTCCAAGCCCGCTTGGCTTTATGACAAGGTACGTGAGTGGGATGAGGTGTCATCCGATGCTGTTCGTGCCAATGCCAAGGTCCATGTAGGCAATGTTTTCGAACTCTGTGTTGAGAAAGGCAGTGAGCTTCCAAAAGGCAACCCCCTTAGGAAGTACAAAGGTCGGACGGTGTTCCAACAAAACAAGGTCAAAGATGAGTCCGATATGGTGGTCTCTTTTAGAGCTAGGATCTGCGCCGGCGAACATGGAGGCGGGCAAAGCCCTTGACTGCTACGGCAGTGCGCCTGGGAATAAAAGCACCCAAGGCGACGGCAAACAAGCCTACACCCAGACCACTTTAAAAGGCAAACCGACCTGGATCAGGATCCCGAAGTACGTGGCCTAAGTCTTGGCACGGGAAATTTAAGGATCCTGTTATCCCGCTTGTACTAGCTCTCTATGGCCACCCAGACTCTGGCGGGTTCTGGGAGCGGCAGTGCGAGGATTGCCTCGCCAAGGTCGGCTTCAAGGCCGTGCACCCTGAGTGCTGGCCATCGATCTTTTGGCGTGACAAGTTGTTCCTTTTGTTAGCCGTCTATGTAGATGACTTCAAGATGGCCGGTCCGGAGTCCAACCATGCCGAGGGGTGGAGGCTTATCGGTACACATATTGACATGGATACCCCCGAAGACGTAGGTAGGTATCTCGGTTGCGACCATGTTGTAACGCATGGCTTCAAGCTGTCCGTAGCAGATCACCCATTTGCACATGTTTGATCTTCGATCTGAGCGTGGGACATTTGTGCATCACCACGTCCAGCCACGTCGACGCTTCGAAATCAGGCCTGCGGGCGTTGAAGGGCTGTTCGACCCTGGTGACCTCAGGTACACAGAGTATGTCCCATGCACGGAGGGATCCGTTGCCAACGATGCGGGGGGGCTCATCCCACGTTTGGCACGACACCAAGATCGACC